CTTTTTGAGACCTCGAGGAAAGGTCTGGAAGGGGTTTAAAACTAACTTTTAATGCTTCTGCGCAGTTTATTGAACTAAACAGAAGCTCTCAGCAAACCTATTTCCGACTGTCTCAAATCTTCCTTCGAGCGGAGGGACGCGCGTCTGGGCCACTTTAAAGCTTTAACTCCCAAGATCTGTTTGTTAATTCTCCATCAAGGCGACAACTTCTACCTGATAAGTGTGAGTGTTCTGAGAACTTGTTTGCTGGATAATGTATGAATATTATGGGGAGAAGTTATATGCGAATCAGCTCTGGGAGCGAAAGGTTTAATCGCTATAACCATCCCGGCTGCTACCACCATTATCTCTATCACTAGCCACCAGTAACACCTGCACAGCCAGTCTCACAGCTGATATGCGTCCATACTGAAACGTCCACGGTGAAACTCTATCAAATGACGATCAGACAACTCGTCGTTTATCAACTTACCCGGTTCAACAGCATACAAACTAAAAACAAAGCAAAGTAAACTCCACTGTATTTGCCCATGATAATTTCTTAAGGTGAATCCAGATTCTTAAGAATAAACCTCAGGCAACTGCTGATTAGAATCGAAAAATCAACTTTTAACCCTTTCACTGCCAAGATCTCATAGTAATTCTCCTTACTATCTGCCATACAATCCATGATGTTAGTTTGGAGAATTTGTTTTGGATCAACTGATGATCCCTTGGTTGTCTTTTTTTCCTTATCTCGCTTACTTGTCTGCTTGATATTGTATGATATTGTAAGGAGAAATTCTGTCTTGGTCACCCATGGGAGTTAAGGGGGTAAGCGAACTTTTTGAACGCCTACCTCTATTAAAATATACCGTCATATAAATCCGTCTCGGATCTGTTAAGCTGTTGTGTTTATTGTCCCTTTTATTCTTAGAGAGGCCTAAAATGGGAAAAGAATCCAATCAATGTAGATAATTATAGAGAATGGTTCTCTGCAAATGTAAACGAAGCCTCTTAACTGGGGTGAGCAATCCAATTACTAGGGGAACTCGGTTCACACATACAAACACACACACACACATCACACACACACACACACACACACAAACAAACAAAACAAAAACAAAAACAAACAGAAAAACAGGAAAGGTAGATACCAAACATAGGACAACCATATATTTTTATTCAATACTTAGTTCACTCCTCTGTTCTCATTTCTTCATTATAATAGAGATTGTTCTGTAGATAAAGTAACATGCATATTTATACGTTTTAACCTAACGAGTAGGAATAAAGCTCTAGAAATTTTAGTTTGATCTGGATATTTCATGCATGGTGCCCAAACATTCTTGACGTCAACAATTGTACCCATGCTCCTACTAATCGGGAATATTGACCAACGCAACGTTTTTTCCTTGTGCATAGCAATTGTCGTCGTGAAACAACGTAATTTTTGGATCCTCTAATTTAAGGACGCGTTCAACATATGCGACGCTTTGTTTGGGCATCATAAACTTATTTAAGGGTTTGTTTAAAGAATTTGTGCCCATCACACCAAACGCTCCCACGACTCTATTCTTAGCATTCCAACAACAGCCCACTGTCCACATTGAGTTTGGAATTGCGATCTTTGACCCGAGATTCGGGTTTCTATTCACGTTGTCATGGAAAAACCCCATTGGTTTGACTGTTGTATCTACCCCTGTTATTTCACCTTGAGGATTAAGTTTTTCTTTAAATTGAACCTTTGATGTACCAGTGATCAGGTAAAGGGTTCCACCTTTTAGAGAACAGACGGACGAAGCATACTTGACTATTTTCTTTTCGTACTTTTTCCACTGTCCTTTGTTAAAATTTGCAATTTGCGGTACGCAGTTGGTGTAGGTGAAGGTGGCAAGAACACTATCGTCGCTGTAACTTAAGATATCCACAGGAACGAGGTGGCCTCTCTCATATTCACCTTGGTTAGGTTGATTCTTATACAGGTCATTGCTTCCTTGACGAATAATCATATTTCCTGATCATGAGACAATTTTGAATTAAAATTTTAACATTCACTGATGCAATGTACAAGCCAAAAGAGGTTGTTTATGAGTGATATGCTGGAGAATTAAAGTTCTCACCCTCCCGGTCAAAGTTGCGAAATGTTTCGGTGGATAATCTCAGTCAAATATTGAACGATTCACTCAGCATGATTAAACCATCATGCATGACTTTTCCCGCAAGTTTCTCCACTTTTCGTCAATATTTTTTCCTACATTGTAGGCAAACTTTTGTAGGCTTACCGGTTGATAAGCTACTAGAGAATTTTAGAAAACACTCGTGTTCTCCAAAAACCCCGCGTGGCCTATCGGCCGGTAAACCGATAGAAAGTGTGCTTTATTGCTAAAATACAAAGAGATATATATAACACTTCAGGGAAAGTCTGTCCGTATGGTATTTACACACAGGTTGGTAGTATCCGGCGGAAATCGAACGAATGAGCGTAGCGAACGAGTGAGATTTCTGATACAAACCGACGAGAACGTAAATACCATACACACAGACTTTCCGTGGTGCATTATTTTTATTATTATACCTTAGACTTACTATGAATCATTTGAATGGTGGAGAGCATTAAGTCAATATACAGTACGTAGTATGCGATATCCCAATATTTGGGTTATCCTATCAAGTTCAAAGTCTACCTAGTTTCTAAGCTACTTGTCTGTGTAGTGTTCTCAAACTTTTACAAAAATGGCTAAACGCGTTCCCCCAGTGTTTCCAAAAAAGAATTTCAAGTTTTTGATCGAGAACAAAGATTCCAAAGACATCAAGAGGACAAAAAAAAAAAAACAAAAAAACCAAGAGTAAAAGTTCTAACAAGATAAAACCGCTTTGGCCAGAGTCTAAAGATGTTTTACGCCGGCGCTAGAAAAAGAGATGGCGGCCCGCACTCAGAAAATTCCGTGACCTCTCTACGATTTGGACTCAATAGGCATTTCATGACAACAGGAACTGACACTATCAAAGACTTAGAATTCGCCGAGGCTAACAAAGTATCCCTGGCAAGATAGGTGATTAAAAACGGTGGGGTTTGGCGAAGGTTGAACGCAAACCAGATATTTCAGAAAAAATTTTCTAATCTCTCTTTTGAAGAGTGGTCGGCTCTAAAAAGTCTTAGAAAACGCAAAGACATAGTTATCAAAGCGGCCGATAAGGGCGGCTCAGTCGTTGTTTGGCGCACTGACCTCTACCAAAAAGAGGCTTTGCGGCAACTTTCTGNAGCGCTCTAACCAATTGAGCTAACAAGCCAACTGAGAGCAGGCCGTTAAGTTGATTCGTAATGAACCCGTGAAAGTGATAAATGAGATAGAATAAATATATGAAAATCATATATTTTGAACTGCGGTATTTGATACGTATGATGGACGATCCTCGCAGTAGATAGCGCTATTTGAGCAATAGCGAAATTCAGACCTGAAAAAAATCAGGCCTGTACGGGACTCGAACCACTGACCTCTGCGATACTAGTGCAGCGCTCTAACCAATTGAGCTAACAAGCCAACTGAGAGCAGGCCGTTAAGTTGATTCGTAATGAACCCGTGAAAGTGATAAATGAGATAGAATAAATATATGAAAATCATATATTTTGAACTGCGGTATTTGATACGTATGATGGACGATCCTCGCAGTAGATAGCGCTATTTGAGCAATAGCGAAATTCAGACCTGAAAAAAATCAGGCCTGTACGGGACTCGAACCACTGACCTCTGCGATACTAGTGCAGCGCTCTAACCAATTGAGCTAACAAGCCAACTGAGAGCAGGCCGTTAAGTTGATTCGTAATGAACCCGTGAAAGTGATAAATGAGATAGAATAAATATATGAAAATCATATATTTTGAACTGCGGTATTTGATACGTATGATGGACGATCCTCGCAGTAGATAGCGCTATTTGAGCAATAGCGAAATTCAGACCTGAAAAAAGGCCTGAACAGGCCTGTACAGGCCTGATTTTTTTCAGGTCTGAATTTCGCTATTGCTCAAATAGCGCTATCTACTGCGAGGATCGTCCATCATACGTATCAAATACCGCAGTTCAAAATATATGATTTTCATATATTTATTCTATCTCATTTATCACTTTCACGGGTTCATTACGAATCAACTTAACGGCCTGCTCTCAGTTGGCTTGTTAGCTCAATTGGTTAGAGCGCTGCACTAGTATCGCAGAGGTCAGTGGTTCGAGTCCCGTACAGGCCTGATTTTTTTCAGGTCTGAATTTCGCTATTGCTCAAATAGCGCTATCTACTGCGAGGATCGTCCATCATACGTATCAAATACCGCAGTTCAAAATATATGATTTTCATATATTTATTCTATCTCATTTAGGCTATTGTTTGGACCGATAAATTTGTTTTAAGTGTTGATATTTTCTTAAGGTATTGTTCAATCAAATATTTCGACCTTAAATTATTCAATTTTTAGAATTTTCATTTCAACGCAACGCTATGCGATTTTATGGTGGTGAAGTCATGTAAACAATAATGGTGATTATCTGATAACCACAACAAATAAGCATATCGAGCTTCAACGATTTGTATCTTAAAATGTTTATTTCTAAGGAGAACCATAGAAGTTAAGCTATAAATTGATTTCCATTGAAAATCAGGCAAAGAAAAGAAAAAGAGGCGGTATTGTACATCACAACTGTGATGGAAGGTGAAGAGGCCAGCAACGGCAAAACGTTTAATTTGCCGCGTAATATAAATAAGGGATTTTCTTCAAATTTTCGTACAGGACAACTTCGGTTATCAATCAATCAATCAATCAACAACTTTATTTAAATGTCGAAACTCTTCTTGTTAGCCCCAAGTAGCAGACTAATCGGGGACACTAAAAAATTGGTAAAAACAAACTAGGGCACATTTAGCGATTGTGAAAATAATTGTGAGAATTTTAAAAATACTGCGAATATCTGTATGATCTATGTAATGTATATGATGTTTACTGCAGTATACTCCAGCTTGTTCTCCTCGGCCCATCATAACATGGAAGAAGGTTACAAACATAGACTATTTTAACATTTGTGGAGCTTTTCGAGACTTTACAACGTACAGAAAGGATCCCTGCCGCGTGAAACGGAATGGAACGGAAAGTGTAACAACTTATTACGGACTTCGGCACAAAATGAAAAAGGTGTTCGTTAATATTTTGTGCCTTTCGTGATGTCTACGGTCATTTTCACATTCTCACACAGATGAAAGATCTCTCCGGCCCACCACGTTTTTGCAACTTCAATCCCAGGGTTCACTTAGGTATTAGTAAAGTCGCCTCGTAATAGAGTGTGTGCGGTCACATGACTATGACGTCAGAGAAATTTTATGGCCACCATGTTGGAGGAGTGAAAATATATAGCACTTATGGCAAGTTGTTTTATTCGAAAGCGTAATTTCTCGAGCGATGCCATCATTTTGTCTCCTCGTTGGCTGTTCTAACCACAAAAGAA